CCCTACACGCATGAAACTGTGGCTTTCGTTCCTAAAATGACACGTCCCATTGGGGTTTTCACTATATATGAGAGCAGGAACATATATCACCTACTTTGCCAGGAATTAAGAGGGGATAAAAATGTCTATGGACTGTCACAGTCTATTTTCCTAATTTAAGTTGATTTTTTTCAGGGTTTTTTTTTCCCCCTAATAGCTGCTGACATCATGTTTGTGTGGAGGGCAGGGTCTATCAGGGGAGCAGCAGGGAGCGGCACTGCTTATGGGGAGGGGGTTTTGTCTCTCTTTGCAAAGCTGCTGACTTGAAGCATATTTTTGAGGCTGTGTAACTAAGGGGGTAGAGGAAATCTGTGCACTGTGTAACATGGTTGTGATTAGTGAAGATCCCATAGCCGGCCTGGCCTCGCTGAGGTGTGGTTCCTGGGAAATGCTGAAGCTTAAGTCTGATGTCAGGCTTGTGAATAAAATCAGCACAAAGGCAGCAGAACTGCTCCGATGATACATAAAATCAACAGGGTGCACTTGAAATATGTGTTAGAACAATATACGATACATATAGTGCCCCAGCGGTTCTGCACACTCTGGTCCCAGAGAGGCAGGTGACCGCATACCCAGGCTGAGACCTCTTTTAAAAGTGCTGCTGAGGCATTTTGTCACCAGATTTTTGTTAATTCTTTCTTTTTTTCCTTCTTCCCATTTTAACCCTCATTATCTCTCCTGTCTCTTCCCTGCATTAGCAAAACCCCATTTCTGCTTCTCCTGTTCCTAGTGGCACCAACAGCCCAGCGCCTAAAAAGAGTTCAGGGAGTGTGGATTATCTGGCCCTGGACTTCCAGCCAAGCTCTCCAGGGCCACACAGAAAGGTATGGGGGATTTTATAAACTTCTGATTAAAAGTGATGCATATTTTTAAGGGGTTTTATGCACATTGGCAACAGCACATCCAAAGCCCTGGGCAGGATTGGTAAGTGGCATGGTAACCTCAGAGATGGGATTTTTCCTGCAGATCCACTGCTACGTTTATTCTAGGTCAGATTCGGTCTCTGTTGCATGTCTGCAGCCTTGCTGGAAGTGTCACCAGAAACATGGATGTGCAGGGGTTCAGGGGTGCTGATGAGACCAGAAATTCAGCTGGAGATTGCATATTCAAAAGCTGTCAGGAGGTATCCCAAGAAGTAGCAGTATTTTCTTTTTTCCATCCTTCAGGACAATAGGTCCTCCAAAACCAGACTTGGGTTTTCCACCTGAGAAATGCTGGGCACCTCTCTCCTGCCAGTCAGGTGCTTTTAAAGGGTGCTATTTGGGCAGGAAAAGTACAAACTACTTTCAAAAAGTGAAGCTGATGTCTAAAAGCTAAATTATGTTAAGCTGATCAAGCCGTTGCCCGGTGAGAGAGAAACGTGGGGAGAAGATGCATCAGGAATGGGATGCCTCTGCCAAATGGAAATGTGGAAGGGGAAGCTCCTAAAGATGCAGATGTTGGTGACTTTTCTCTAGGTTCATACATGGGGAAACAAGCACCATCTTAAAGTGAATCATAGGAAAATAGAGCAAGGGAGGTCCTCAGGGCATCCCCACATCCAAAGGAAACCATGTCTCCTGAAGTGACAGATGAGGCTTAAAAGTCTCATATGATGAAGATTTCACACACACCCCCAGCAAGGCCACATACCAAGATGAAGAGGACACCCAGAGGTGACAGAGCGGGCTGGGGAGTGACCAAAGGCAGGTCCTTCTGGGTGCCACCCTGAGCAAACTGGGACAGGGAAGAAGAGACTGGCTCAAGCAAAGCAGCACCTGAGCAAGGGGGCAGTGAAGGACAAGGCGTTGTATAAACCTTTGTGGGAACCACCTGTGAATTGGCCTTGACTTTCTCAAACACCGCCTTGTTTCCTAGGCAAAGCATCCCAGTGGTTAGATCTTTTTATTAATTGGCAGCTGCCTCTTGATTGTTTCTTTTTGCCCAGAAATATTTCTGCAGGTATTACCAATTTAAATTATATCCCAACCTGGAAAGGTGATTTTAGACCATTAAAAAACATCATCTGGCTTCAGTTGCAAGCAGCTGTGGGGTCCTCTGAAATGCTTGTAGAGGCAAACGACATCCCAGGACTCAAGAAACTATGGAAAAAAGTATCTCCTTCTTCCTCAACAGGTCTCCTGGGTGAACCTGCAAACATGTCTGTTGTTTTGGGGATGAAAATAATCTAGTGCCATAGGTGTGTAGAATCAGCACAGCTAAGAGGGATGGAGCTGGGATTTTTATGTGTATCTATAACAGTTCTTGAGTTACAAGAAAGTGAGCAAGATGCAATGCTGAATTTGCAATATCAGCAGTTAGATACCACAATTGCAACCAAACATTCAGGTCCCAGAGTTGGTGAGAAGGTAGAGACCCAGGTGCTGTTTCTACTCTCCCATTGCACTGCAGTCTCATGCAAGCAAGATGCAGAACAGACTGAAATCTTTCATCCAAGACCTTTTGGGAGGTTAGAGGGAGGCTGATGAGCTATGGAGTCTGCAGGAAAGCAGGGGAGGTGCTGGTGGACTTACAGCACCAAGGGTGCTGCTGCGGGAAGGAGAGAGAGGGGAGAGCAGGGAGCTGATGAGTGACCAGGCGGTGGCCGTGTTTCTCCTCCCCACAGCCCTCCACTTCATCGGTCGCCTCAGATGAGAAGGTTGATTACGTGCAAGTGGACAAGGAGAAGACGCAGGCACTGCAGAGCACCATGCAGGAGTGGACTGATGTGCGGCAGTCCTCGGAGCCCGCCAAGAGCACGAAGCAGTAGCGCCCAGAGTGGGCAGCGAAACAGGCAAATGTTCTGGTGGTTTTCCCCAGCTGGGGCCCTGCTGGGCTTCCAGCTCCACTTGGGCTGGATTTCTAAGACTTGTCTGGGGAGGGGAGGGGGTCTTCATTATTTTTTTTTCTTTTAAGACAAAAAGAAACTCAATTTCAGGGGAAGACTTGGCAGAAACTGTTTGCCAGTGATAAAGACCAACTGTGTTTGGTGGCTAGGTTTGTGCTTTAGCTGCTGGATGCACTATCCAGGAACGTTGACTTAGCAATACCAGGTTTCACCCTACACATCTTTTGCTTACAGCTATTAAAGCCACCTTGTATGTGCTAACACTGCATCATCTCTCCCCGTCTTCTTCCATACCATACCCCCAAACCGTGCCATGCAGGTTTGTAGCATCTCTCACAGGACATCATTCCCCAGCTCTGATTCCCCACTCCTTATGGTCGCCCTCCTCTGCCTTCTCCCAACCCCAAGACTGAACAAGGACAATTCCTTTTGAAATCATTTCCATTGTCCCATCTCTTGTAAATAATATGTTCAAAACCTCTGAGGGCTATTCTCCTCCTGGTGGGATAGTCCCTATGTTTTCGGTTGTGGTTGTGAACCTTCATGAGCTTGAAGAGCATCCAGACTGTCCCATTGAGCTGACTTAGAAGCCCAGGACTTGCCCCATCTGTATGCCACACACATATATGCCAGCACATGCTCACACACATGCATGCATGCGTGAAACAGCCAAGTCTGTTGGGCTGTCTTCTGCCGTTGATGCTCTCCAGCATCTCTCAAAGTCAATGGGCTGGGGAGATTGGCTTTGAATGGCAGAATTTAAGCCCTGACCCGCTGCCTATCTGAAACAAATTGCGTATGAACCTGGCCTTAAGAACCAAAATTTGCCCTTTGTGGCACCAAAAGAAGCCCATAGAGTGAGAGTCCTACATCTGTGGCTGTCATGAGAAGCTCTGTGGTTGAGTATGAGGAGCGCAGGGAGGCTCTGGAGACTGTATATCTGGACTGTCATGAGGATGAGTGACAAGGAGGGAGTGGGAGGCTGTTGCAAGGACCGGGAGAAGGTGGATGTTGTACTGCAGAGGTTGGTCTTGGGTGAGGAGGTCTGGTGGGGTGTATCCTGGAGGAAAGGAGAAGAGTAATTGAAATGTTGGTTGATGGTGAGGCTTTAGGCTTAGGAAGAGGCTGGTCAGGAGTGTCAGGGCAAGGTGTTTCAATATTAGCTTTAATGTAGCGTTACGGTTGGTTTGTGGTGGGTGCAAAGGGCTGGACTAGATATTTTCTCCCCATGTTCAGCAATGTGTCTTCAACACAGAAATGGGGCTTGTTGACATTAACAACCCTAGGTTCTAATTATGGATGGGAATCTGCTGTTGTCCCTCGCCAGCGTCCTTGACACATCCAGGCTTTGGGATCGCTCCCTAGGCAGCTGCCAGGCGCAGAGAGCCGAGAAGGAAGAGACAGTTTATTGCAGAGATAATAATTCATGATCTCATGAAAACAGAAAGGACTAATGATTGCCATGGAGCAGCCTGATTGCCAGACAGCAAGCGCTGACACAGATAAACAGACCGACCACAAACCGAGAGCCAAATAAAGGAGACGTTAGAAAGATTAGGTAATAATATTTATTAAATAGCTGGAGCTATTCTTTCTGCAAGCTGATCCCCTCCCAATGCCACGGGCTCTACGTTCCGCCACCACCACCAAGTTGTATTGGTTATTGATGCTTAGGAGTTAACACATTTGTTTAAGCTTGGCCTGAGTTTGGAAAGGGCCAGACATCACCCACACAAGGATGGGATAGTAGTCCCTTAAGGGCTGTGTGTGGGTAAAATAAGTCTTGAATTTCCAACACCAGTTTATATTTTCTTCTTGCATGCCATGAAAGGCAAGGATATTAATGGAAAAGTGCTGACAAACCTTTTAAGACATTGAAGTGTTGGCCTTTTACAGGAATAATGAAACAAATATCCTAATGTTCATGGTAAAAATAATAATCATCTAGGAGAAAACAAAAAAGACCCAAAGGGGAAGATTTAGCACAGCCAGATGCTTTCTGAAGGTTGGGGAGCGTGTTACAGCCTGCAAGGGCCTTTGCCTCTCATTGGAGGCTTGCACACTTGCATGATGAGATAATGAAATGAAGACCAGAGTACAGTGCTTCATATTTCTATAGCCCCTTTCATCACTGCGTCTCAGGGGAGACTAAACATTGGGCCTGATCCAGAGCCCACTGACGTATGTGTTCACCCAGCTGGGAGTGAGCTCCCCATCCCCACTGAAAAGCAAATGTGACTCAAGCGGGAAGCTGATTTTTTTCCTATTTCATCCTCTAAACTGCTAGGCAGACACAAAGGAAGATGAGGATGGGGGAGAAGGGTTATGGGGCATGCTGGCTGTGTTTCCCTGCCAAAACTGTGCTGTTCGCCTCCTCTCACAGTAAAATGCAGCCACCTCTGGGATGGATTGCAGCAGCAATTTTGGGAATAGCCCTTTTTGCTGCTTTGAGCCTCTCTCAGTAAAACAGTGCGACCATTCTCGAGGTGAAACTGAGCCCAGCTCCAGGCCAAAAAAATCTTGAACTGGACCAAAAGCTTGGACAAATCAAGTGATAGCCCATGCTCAGATTGAGTCTTTTTCTCCACCCGGCAGACGGGGAGCTCAGCAAGTCCCAAAAGTACCCTGAAAGTGGGCAGGCGAGGGGGAGGCAACAGCAGTAGTCATTTATGATGGTGCAGTGGCCTGAGAGACAATGCAATGGGTGGGGATGCGTTCTGGTGAGTCAGTGCCCTGTACTTCTGCACTGGGACTAGGTGCATCCGGTGCCCACTCCCACATTTAACCCAAAGCATTAATTAAGATTACAAAAGCCCTTCATGGTACTGCTTTCATGATCATCCCCAGTAACTAGCCCTTTGCGTTTGGCAGACCAAGGACCAAAACAGCCCAAAAGTAGCTATTTTTCAGCTGCTGGTTTCTGGTCCCTCTCTGCTTTGCCTATGTTTTCCCAGAAACAGATATATTCCTTCATTTTGTTCCCTGCTAAGCACCAAGCAAATGGCCCCTCCAAACTCCGTAGCAGTCCATACACTCTATGCATTGCCGTATAGACATGACTATATCAACCCCTCCCGAAAGCCGTTAAGTAATCAATGGCTGCAGTGGAAATAGTCATTCCTGACGGTTGCCGAGCTGATTACAGCAGTCCCTGATGATTAATGTTTGTGCAGTATTTAGTCTTAAACCATATTGAAAAGCAGCTGGTTTAATTACATGGACTGCCAAGAACTTTGTCCTGAAGGCATTGAGTTTATCACATCCACTCTATACTTGGATGCTCAAGTATGACTGACTCTTTTGTTAGAAATAGGTATTTTAAGAAGCTGAGAAAGTTGCAAATGATTCATTTTAATTGCAATTAAAATGGTTTGAGTCTTCACGTCAGAGCCTGCTCTTCAGCGCTACGGTCCCATTTAACAAAAGGGATGTGCTTGCATGTGTGTGTGTGTGCTCATGGAGAAGGGTTGTCTGTGGGACAAACATCATGACCTGAATATTTAGTTTTATGAAGTACCAGGGCCATGGCTCAAAGCTCTCCCCAAGCTTTAAAATGACTAAGCCAGGCTTAGACTTAGTCTCAAGTCAGAGAAAGAAAATACACAAGTGTGGATTGTGCTGTGGCAAAGCTGAGCGTCTGGCAGATAGGGCCAAATCCAGAGCCAGAACCAAAAGGTAGCTAAGGTTTGGGTTGACTAGGGGCTAACTGGGATGGACTTGGACCCAAGACCACCAGCCACTGACAAGGATTGTATATGGGGGAATATGAGGTTGGGAGGAGAGAAGGCAGGGGAGTTTGCCAGCAAGATTTGAGTCTTGGTCCTCACTATGTGCTCCTTTGGTATGAGTCCCAAGTCAAATATATAGAGATTTGTGGGTTGTGGAACGGGGTTTTGCTCAGTAAAAGCCATGCACTGGTGGGATGGGAGCTCCCACTGCTCTAGAGACTTACCCAGGGCACTTCCCTCTCAAGGGGGTCATCCTGTCCGACAACATGATGCCTCAACACTCTGACTTTCAGGGAGTCCTGGTCTATGCACCCAGGTCTGAGCTGGGCAGGAGAAGCGCTACCAGAAATGGGGTGTGGACCCGGACATGCTGGGAGACATCTTGCTCTGTAGCAGCAGTGCCACGGTTTCACAGGGTTGTCCCATGAGGTGCCACCTCCATCCTTGGAGCTTTTCAAGACCAGGCTGGATCAACCCCATAGCTGACCCTGCTCGGAGCAGGGGGTGGGACTAGAGACATCTCTTCCCCCCCAGTTTACCCTGAGACCCTGTGCTGCTAGAGCTGAGCAGAGACTCCTCCATGTGAGGGAAGGGGCCAAAGGTATTGCCTAGAGCCCTACAGCAGGGCCAGGGCCTCTTCTCTGACCATGAAGCCAAGTGGCAAGGCAAAGATCAACCCCTAAGGCCATACCCCCAGAGAGGGGACCTAATCCACACTGGGGCTATCCCTTGCACCTGGGAGAGGGCTGGCTGGCCCAGACCAAGTCATTCAGGACGTGTCCAAGCAACAGCGGGACAACTTGAACCTGTAAATTTGTTAGGGTAGACATCAACCCAGAGCTCTCTGCAGCCCCACGCCAGCCCCTACACCCTGGCGTCTCTGTCCCTTGAGCATACCGAGAAGACTTGGCTCCCTTTGGCCACCCATTAACCATGGCTCCTTGGGAATGGTAGAGCCATGCCCAGGTCTTATGTAGTGGTGGACTTTGGTAGGAAGATGTTTAAATACCTCCCACGTCCTGTCTGATCTTCCTGGCCTAGAAGACAAATAAGAGGATGGTTTTCTCAAGTCATGCTTGCATTGTGTTGATGTTTTCCCACCTGGTGATGTTACTATTCCATGCAAAAGTTGATGCTCACCTGCACTGTGTGTTCCATTGGAAGGATGTTGTCTGGATGAGATGGGTGCAGTGGGGCTGTGCCTATGGAGAAGTCCTACTTGTAACAGGAAGGGGAAAGAGCTGAGCCTAACCCCAACCCCAGCCAGAGGACACACACGGCCATCAAAGAGCCATCAAGAAAATCAGAGAGACCAGTCCAGCATCAAATCACAAGGGCAAATAACCAAATTTAGGGCCTCTGGTGAGTCTGCATGTCTCTCTTCTCTGCCCAGAAAGCACCAACCTATCCAAATGAACACAATGATCTTGCAACTGTTAATGAAGTTCTTGCAGGTAAAGACATGCACCTTTTGGTCATGATTTCTCCCTGGCCTGGAGCAATTCATCCCTCCATCAGCTTGTCCTTGGTGTCTCATCCTTGTAGTCACAATTTTATCTCCTTGTTTGCAACTCCTAGAGTTATACTGTTAATCAGGTTGCTCCTTCACTGGCTGCTCTTGAGAAAAGTTGTTATGTAGCAAGGTGTCACCAAATAGCTCTCCCCACCCTGCCAACCCATGGC